CCCGTCACAGACACGCCCTCTGACCGGCCAATGACACAGCCCGTCACAGACACGCCCACTGAATGAGCAGGATGTATAAAACACTGAAGGGCTCCACAGTACAGTTAAGCTGCTGCTTCAGAATAGGATCAAAGAACAGAGACCTGATTTATTGCCTCAAAATAACGTTCCGTACAGAAGCTTATCGGCACAACAGAGAAAAAAATATTTTTTGCATTTAAACAAGATAGTGTTGCGTTCAAAGGAGATACTTTTTGCGCTTATGCAAGATAACATTGCATTAAAACACAATAATTAATTTGTGAACAATATTGTGATTGCTGGTCAATCATTGAAGCTTGAAGCACAAACTCTCAAAGGATTTTAGGCTATGCTCACATCTAATACATTTGAGCTTGGAATTACACAGCAAAGGGGAGTGTGGAACAAGCTGCACAGCCATGCTCCTGAAGCCGATACGCTGCCTTCTCTCAAGAAATCACTGAAGGAGATCCTTGTATTCATGAACTCCTATCCAACAGGCGAGATGGGCCAAATGTGTCACGGTCGGCATCCCTCCCCTAGTGGGCGCTCTAACTCTCGAAGACTAGCCTTCGGACTTTATTATCATCTGATGTGTCTTGTTTTCGTGTTATTTAACGCTGGGCCTCGGGCGTTTTGGGGCTCAGCATTTGGAAGACGGACGCCTGGAAGCCCACCTACCAGCGGGTCCAGGAGTGGCCCGCCGGCACAGGCTTCAACACGGCGTCCCGTCCACTGAGTCCGGGGCTCGGCGTCCCCAGGCCCGTTCCTGTTCTGTGTCTGTGTCCTGCTTCCCCGCTTCCAGGGATTTTATCCTGTGTTTGTCCCAGATGGATTACCTGGCCTATTGGATCTTGGACTATGCCCTGACTACCCGCCTGGACCTGTCTGGACTTGGATGCCTAAGGCTACTTTCCCCTACTTTCCCCTGCCCACCGGATCATGAACTGTAACCCCTTCACAATAAACCTTGTGTGTCTTCCCTGGACCCTGTCTGTGGTCCTGTTTCTGGATTCGCCACCTTGCACAGGGTCTAAAGACCACCCTCCACGGGAGAGCGACCCGGCTCCCGGAACAAACTGGCCAACTCTTCTTTGAATCTGCTCTAACGTTCTTCTGAAAACCCCTTTCAAATACACCTGGGGCCCCGCAGGGAAACGCACCAGAGACTATTTGAGGTCATGTGGTCTGTTTACCCGCAGAGAAGGGGATGAAGGCTTCTGGTCGTTCAAAATGTCCTTCGGCATCCAGGAAGTTGTCCGGATTGAAGTGATGGGGAAATTTCCACTGCGCCTTGTCGCTGAGGATGGAGCTCATGTTGGGGATCACATGGGTACCCTATGGGAGGAGAAACAGCAGCACAGGTCAGACCACACAGAGCAGGAGCAAGTTCGTAGGAGATGCTACTGAATGCGGAATGAAGCATTCCTCAGCATTTCAATATTGCCCATGGCAGAGAGATCCTGGTGATGGGTTTTTCGTGTTTGAAATCAAGGCCAGTTTATTTCAGGGGTGATCTGTGAAAGGGGCACTCATGCACAACACTGTAGCCAGTCTGAAAAAGGCCTGCCCTCTCTGTGGTGCTTAAAGACAGTTCAGGGAAGCAGCTCCTCATTAACTTTTACCGCAGCACTTTAGAAAGTGTCCTCACTAATGGCATCACTGTGTGGTACAGCAATACCACCACACATGACAGAGACACACTACAAAGGCTCGTGGCAACAGCACAGAGGGTTATAGGATGTGTTTGACCATCAGTCTGTGAGATTTACACCATCCGCTGTCCCCATAAAGCCCATTCAGGATCCCAACCATCCCAGCCACAAACTGTTCTCCCACCTGCCCTCTGCTCTCTACCGCACTATTAAAGCACAGACCACTAGACTTAGGAACAGCTTCTATCCCACTGCAGTACACATCCTCAACAGCTACCTGCAGAGCCTCAGACTCAATGCACATCTGCACTCTGCACTTTTTGCACGATCTACCATGTACTTTTTTTCTCATGTTTATCATTCTCCACAACACATGTATTGTGTTGTTATTATCATTTATTATGTTGTAATGTACTGTCTACATTGTGTGGTGTTGTCTGCTGGACTGTTGTTCCAAGAGATCAGCGCAAATATGAATTCCAGTGTTCATGTACATATGGAAAGAAACTCCTCTACTCTCTACTCTCATTGCAGATTCAGGTTCAGATCTGAGGAATGAGGCAGCACTTACTCAACACACCTCAATACCTGTCCATTCCTCATCAACACTCCTCATTACCCACTCATTCCTCATCAATACTGCTCAATACCCACTCATTCCTCATCAATACTGCTCAATACCCACTCATTCCTCATCTATGCTGCTCAATACCTCCTCATGCCTCATCCATACTGCTCAATACCTGCTCATTCCTCATCAATACTGCTCAATACCTGCTCATTCCTCATCAATACTGCTCAATGCCTCCTCATTCCTCATCAATACTGCCCAATACCGCTCATTCCTCATCAATACTGCTCAATACCTCCTCATTCCTCATCAGTACTGCCCAATACCCACTCATTCCTCATCAGTACTGCTCAATACCTGCTCATTCCTCATCAATACTGCCCAATACCTGCTCATTCCTCATCAATACTGCTTA